CAAGGTCTTTTGTCTGAAAGTGATGGCAAAGATGTTGTTTTATCTGAGAAATGTCATGATGATCACTACCAGTAAGAACAATATCATCAACATACACTATCAAGTAGATGCACCAAGCAGTGGAATGTCGATAAAAGACCGAATGATCAACTTTGCTTCGAGTCATACCAAACTGTTGGACTACGGTACTAAATCTACTAAACCATGCCCTTGGAGACTGGCCGAGCTCAAGCTCGGCATAGCGGTACGGATAGTACAATAATCATTGGAGGAGTGATAAGGTGGTTTGGTGGCGAAGGGGGTGGTCCTGGGGCTGGAGGGATAAGGATGGTCGGAGGTTCGAACTCCCCTGTGACCCAACTAACATAACTTACTAATTACTAACATTTGCCGATAAAAAAAAAAAGTACAATAATCATTGGATATTTTTCGTCATATGTTTAATTGATTGGTAGTAGCTCTGATAGTAATTCTCGGACAGATACACAGTCCCAAACTTACTCGTACTTTTGGAGTGCAGCCTGGCTTTAATGATAATATATTTATGTGTTTTATATATATATATTTTACTTCTAAATTTATATTTTGAACCCTAAAATTTTCAATTGTTATTTTTTATTGGTTAATTTCTTTTTAATATTTTGGTCCCTTTTGACCCGTGTTTTATTCTTGATGAGTATTTCTCTCTTTTTTCATGTAATATTTATGATTTTATTTTCATTTATATAATAATATTATTTTTTAAATAAATTGTCACCGGAAACACCTGCAAAATCACATAATTATTTGTCCACAATTTTGGGGTATGAAAATGTGAATTCCTTCTTTGTTTTGTAGGAATTGAAGCTCGGGGTTTCATTTTTGGTTCTCCCATTGCACTGGCAATAGGAGCAAAGTTTGTACCAATGAGGAAACCGAAAAAATTGCCTGGTACGTTTTCATTCTTAATTTTCCCCTCATAACTATGTTGACTGTATCCTATCACATGCACTATACAATTTATACATGCTCATATGTTCGCAGGTGCTTGTCATTTCTTTTTATTTGTGCATCTTTTTTTTTTTTTCAGAAATAATATTCGTGTTTTATTTTATTGTTTTTCCTTAAATTTTATTAACATTCCTCAGTTGTTTCATCGTCGTTTTACCCACTTGCTTAGCCTGTGTAACAGATTGACGAGTGGTTCTTGAAGTTCCTCAAGTGTTGTATGTGCTGTCTACTAATACAATTATTTCTTGCACTTATTGTGGTTATACTATTCTGCCTCTTATATACCATTTGTCATTCTGTATCTTTTGATTTGTATCGTTATCAAACTTTTCCTGCGCGGTAACTTCAATCTCCAATGTATTATTTAAAGTACTTCTGCTTTGTTATTATTCATGGAAAAGTGAAATCATGAATTACATCACGAGTCATGCATACAACATCAACATGCTTAGGTATTGTTATTTATAAAAGAAATAAAATGCATGCTTCTATTACAACATAGTGAACATACTTAGATTGTTACTGCAACATACTTTCTCCCGGTTTCTGCTAACAAAAGATTGGTTTGGTGGCAGGCAAAGTTATTTCTCAAGAGTATATTCTGGAATATGGAAGAGACTGTCTTGAGCTGCATGTTGGAGCAGTTGAACATGGTGAGCGTGCTTTAGTGGTTGATGATTTGATTGCGACTGGTGGAACACTCTGCGCTGCTATGGATTTACTTGGTAACTACTTCTACAAATTCTAATATAAATTGAGAATTAATGGTTATCTTAAGATCAGCTAGCGATATGCAAAGTACTCCTTTTAAGGCTTCAGCTAGTTTCATTTCTAATAAGTTATATCACAACATGCCATTGTACTGGTTCTCTGTTAGGATCACTGAATATTTCTCACTCATTCCATAGTTTGACGTGAAAAATAGTAAACATAAAGGCTATATTAGGATTTGCAGGCCAATATTTGAGGTCCTTTGACATACATTTTATATAGTTACATTTAAATGCGAATAGAATTCATGCTTTTGTCCAGATATTTAGTGAATAAGAAAATCATATGTGGGTTTCTCATTTCCTTATCTGTGATTGCTAAGGTAAACCGCATTTTGCCAACTCTATCCAACCATAGACAAATATGATTATCATAAATTAGTAATCAGTAGTGTTGTTTTAGTTATTGAATATGAATTATTAATCAGCATGCGTAATGGGTCCTCCTGCCCCCACAATAAATGTCCTTTTAGATTAAGCTAATAAATGCATTTTAACGTTCATATGCCACTTTTAATTATTTGCAAGTCAACTAATATTTCTTTGTTTTGATATCTTGTTTTTTGTCTGTTAATGTCATATGTTGGGATTTGATTACGTTGATGTTTTTTTGTTGCCTTCCAGAGCGAGTGGGAGCAGAGGTAGTGGAGTGTGCATGCGTAATTGAATTGCCAGAATTAAAGGTATGTATAGTCTGGATTTCGTTCAATATATATATAAAACATTTTAAAGTTTAACACTGCTTCTCCATCGTCATTTGATTTGGTTGTCCAAAGAGCGGAACAATGAGCTATTTTATTTTGATTCTTTTACCTGACATTTCTTTGTTCTAAGAGGGCAATTTATCAAATTGTTCTGTCACGGGAGCAACTCCATGTTCTGATTTTGGCTTGCATTCAATGATGACCCTTCAAATAATGATTTTATTATTGACTAGTTTTGTAAGTACTATGGGTTTATTGCTTTGTTCAAGCTAGGAAGTGGTGATAATGATTTTTGTGACAGGGCCGTGAACGGTTGAACGGGAAACCCTTGTATGTGTTAGTGGAATGTTTTGAGTGCTGTCAGTAGATGAAGATGCATCACCACCAAGTGGGTACTTTCCTATATGGAATCCCATTTTATTAAGCTCCCTCCTTTAAAACCACTATTGAGACTCAATGCTTTGCCCCAAGATTTTGATGAGGAAAGAATGCTTTTGAGGCAAATGCTTGTAGTTGGAAATTACTAGGAACAATCACATAAAAACTAATGACTCTGTATGACTCTTTCGGTGTATCCTCTCTTTGCTTACCCATCCTTCTATTTCAAATAATATAAAACAATTACTTTGACAACAGTAGATTTCCAAGAATGAAAATGAAAGTTTGGAATTTGTATCGTTGAATTGGTTCGGTGTCGTTGTTCATTTGCTAGCTCTAAAATTAATAAAAGGAAGTCAGAACAATGGGCATTTTATAATTTTTTTTGGGTACAATTTAATAAATGAATAATGCTATTCACACCTAATTTCTTTTATTACATCATTTTCTATTCCTAGCACACTTTTTGTTATAAAATATAAGCCTACACAGAATGCCTCACATCTACCAGAAAAGAAAAAGGAAATTAGAAAACAGAGAACAAACTTAAGGAAATTAACACAGCAAATTAACAAGTGGCAGTGCTAGGAAAGGTGCATTCCCGACAAAGACAAACACTCTTTTTCGTAGTTAGTTAATTTTTCATTTTCAATGTCACGTATTTCATTATCAGACAAGCAACGGTTATGACATGGTTTGGAACTTATTGCGTGACTTGCGCTACACTTCAATGTTCGGCTCTTGGATGAGAGGGGGATATTTTCTCTTGATCAATTTTAAATCCTAACTTCAATCATTAATAAATACTTAGCTGCTATTTTTTACTAAAGCAAAAAGGTAATCTCTCTTATATTGGACAAAATTTAAATACAGTATATAACTATTCTTGGTTGCAACAGTCTAGATAGAAAATTAATAGAGATTGAAGTTTCTTCTCTACAAATGTCTTATCTTTCGGTCAGAAGGGAGATAAGTAATGCTTTGGGCTTCAAAGAACCAAAAAATTGAGAAAATATCAAGGAGTACTGTTTTCACAAAAGGGTCAAAAAGTGAACTTTAGACATATTTTTGAAAGCTTGTCTACACCAAAGCTCATAGAAAGCTTTCTTTGTCTAGCTGGTAGCCATACCTCACCCAATTTCTAATAGTTAAACAATATAGACAACTTCCTTACAATCAATTAAAGACCAAAGGAAGTAATTAGTTTGTAATCTTACACCAATTTGGTCAATCAATGAGAGGATCTATGTGCTAGTGTGGTTCAAAATTCAAATAAAGTACAAATGTAGGTTTGACACGATGATGAGAAATGATAAAAAGGTAACGTATGGAGAACAAGTTGAACATTAAATTGTAGTCTTCGAGTTATATGCTTAACATTGTACATATTTAATATAGAGCTTTGCTTATATTCTTACGTAACAATCTAGGGAAGGTGTGTTATTTTTGTGAGTTTGAGGGGAACCTAAATGTACTTACCTGAGATCGGTCTAGGGATGATCTCCTGATGATGTCGGGAGAGCCTCCTCTGCTTCGTACGCTGATTGCCGGAGCCCAATAGTGCCCACACACACATTACTATAAGAAAAGGAAGAAAATTAGAGAAAAGAAAGAAAGAAAGAAGATAGGGTAAGGGCCGGAGCTTATCTTTGAGTCTTCCTTAATCTACAAATTTAGATCATTAATTCCCTTAGATACATGGATATTATATCTCATATTTTTTTTTTTAGGAAACTACAAATTTCATTATCTTCTCTCTATAGGCATAACAACAAAGAGGGTAAGGGCGAGTTTTGCAATTCTCGTCTCCATCCTCGCAAAAGATAGGGCGGTGTGATGCGGTTAGCGTTTGGCCTCTTAACTCCATTGTTACATCAATAAATCAAACTATTTTTATTTAAAATGTATGAGAGTATCTCTAATAATTGTAGAAAGTTAATTCTATTAAATACATGGATAATATGAAAGTATGTTGATGTTGTATCTCTTCTATTTTTTTTAAGAAAACTACAAATTTCACCTTTAAATTATTATATTGTCTAGGCAATTCAACAAAGAGAGTCAAGGACAAGTTTTGCTATCCAATCTCCATTCTGGCAAAAGAGTTCAAATTTAAAAGAGACATTTATATTTTTCAAACCAATGTTTATCTTCCTCAAATTTTATTTGATTTAGATAAACATGTGAGAAACAATTTGCTTAAACTTTAATATCTCTAAATAAATTATTTATAATTTATTAATTATATTTTACTTCCAAAAATATTTAAAAATTAATAAATAAAAAATCTTTATACTTTTATAAATTTAGCTTAACGCCACCACGTTAATCCAACCATGGTAATTCCAATTGAGACAAAAAAAAAAAAAAGTAGTTTGAGAACAAAACTGGTAATTTATTCATTTTAATATAAACAAATTAAAATGAGCCGTAGATAAATATTCAGATTGACAAGCATTGTTCACTTGTTGTCCTAAATCACGTTAATTTAAAGATTAAAGATTGTATTTTGGTAAGGTACAAAAGTATAATGAATAACAATCTTAAAACACAACGCATAAACCATTTGGATTCACACTCAATATCATTATCCCCTCTCACAAAATATGGAGGCAACCCACCATGTAACCAATTGAAACATTTAAATTTCAAGCGAGCATTTATCAACCCAATTTCCTCATAATTACAAAAATCAAGTTCAAGTATTATCCATAACAGAAAAAAATTGGGTCGATAAATGCACGCTGATCCTAGTAGTATTCTATGATCTCATCACTCAAAATAGATACATACATCTCCAATTTTTTTTTTTTTTTAAGAAAGAAGAAATAAGGTAAATAATTTTCGTTTTCATTTTTTACAACCTGTAAATAATAAGAAAGCAGGGCAATACCGCACGCGAGTCAAACACTAACAACTCGCCGTTATCCCCACTCACCGAGTCGAACCCCACTCGCTTGTCCAACAACGAGTCCAAAAACCCGAGTTGCTTAGAAACCCGACCCGCTACGACCCGACAAACCAGCATAGCCTTTCTGCCCCTGCCTCCGCCGGCGGTCTCGTGCGCGCCGCCGCTGCCGGAAAACGTGCAGATCGCCGCCCCCTTCCGATCCGGAAACGACCATGCACAGCCAGCACCGTCGTAGGAAGCGCCGTCCTCGACGGGGCCCAGGCAGTGGAACCGCATTACCTCGTTCCCGTCGGCGATGCACCGCGCGTTCTCCTCCCAGTCGTTCCCCTCGGCGAGCCCCGCGGCGGCGCGTCCCTTCACCGCCTCGCGAAACTCCTCGAACCGCGACACGGTCCTGGGCCCGTTCTGGACCTTGAAAATGAGCTCGACCCGGCCCGGGAACGGCTTGGGCCCCCAACTGGTGTGGAAGATAATCTCCACGACGTTCCGCGAAGGGTGGCCCTCGGAAAGTTCGATGATGCCACGGGACGAGGTTGTCGTTGTCGTTGTCGTTGTGCTGCTTCGGGAGCGTCTCATGGGGGTTCGTGTTTCGATTTCTGGTTTGGTTCTTGACGATGGGTATTTGGAGCTTGGATGTTTCTCCAAGGGTGGCTTGGGCTTGGGCTTGGACTTGGGCTTGGGCTTGGGTCTGGGCCTGGGCTTGGGTATGTCGATCATGTCTTTGATGTTCTCGACGCCTTTTCTGCAGCTGGCACTGAGGATTTTGGGGTGTGGGTGGTACACGTCTTCGAAAGCTCTTGACTTGCACTGCCATGACTTCACCCACCCACTCGCCATTGCATCTAACTAAAATGTCTTACAATGTAATCTGGTTTTTATTCCTCAGAATAGGGTTTGCGTTTTGATGATGTTGTAACTTGTATTGTAGGAGAACGAGAAGTGTGAGGGCGCGATAATAAATGGGATTATTTATTTATTTATTTATTATTTTCTATTTACTACTCCGTATGCGTTACGAAATCATGGTTCTGCCCTTCTGAAGATTTCCGAATTGCCCACGTGGACTCTGTCTCCTCCTTTCACGGTTCTGCTCAATAACAAATTTTATTAATTACGAAAACAAAAACAAAAACTCATCAAGCAAGACAAATTCTGATATTCAATTTGGTCCCATTATTTTAACTCGTTTCAAATTCTTACACCGGTAATTATTGGGCCAGTTTTACCTTTTAAAAGCTCATTAATGGTTCTCTTTAGCGTTTTAAAATACTACCCCATTCAATGCAGCCTTCCTACCAACCGCATCCCTATACTAGCGTTAGGACTTTGGAGGAAACTCGTCCATCACAATCGTGAAATTTTGAAAAATTTAAAAAGAAAAAGAGCGTTGGTGTTATTGGTTTAAATTTTGGATGTTACTAATAAATCGCTTAACTGGTACATGTGAAACCTCTTGTCCACATTGAGAGGGCATGGTCAATATGTTTTTTGTTGGCATACCAGCGTGGGTAACATACTTCATTTTCTTGCTCCTTTACGTATTGTGCTTATAGTAATAAGTTTGCCGTCCTGGTTGAAAATAATTTCTTTTTGTGGGATGAAATTGGTAATTTGTTGAGTAATTTTTACTTCTCATGGCCAAGATTATGGCTCCCCCACTCCCTAAAGTGGTTTTATGTGATAATCATTATAGACTCGCAGAAGCTAACAAGTGCTTTAATTAGGAGTTGGAACGATATATATGATTGCGTTTCCGTAATTTTGTTGGTATGCGTATCTAGACAACTAGTACTTTCAACTTTCAACTTCATTAGTCTAGGACTCTAGTCTAGGCGATTATTGTGATGAGACGAGAACGCCAAAATCTAAGCCTAGTGGTTTTTGTGGGTACGTGTCAATGTATTTTCTGTTTAAAAAAGCCTTTCCTATATATTTTTAATGAACCAACACAGTTTCAGTTGGTGAGTTGCTGCTAATCACGTCAAGTCATTTTCTAATAAAAGCTTTTTTGCCCTGCCATCTAACTATGAATGCTTGGTGGCATTGTCGCTCCTTGAAATCAAAGCAACCATTACTAAGCTGCAGCATTGCCTCGTCAGGTTGAAGTTTCAATGGAACAGTGAGCGCAGGGACCCTTAAACAGTATGCGCTATTTTTCAATACAAAGGAAGAAATGAAAGAGAAACCCTTCCTTTATAATACATTGGTCATTTCAAATTAATTTCCTATGTCACAACTTGATCACAATGGAACACTGACCTTCAAATTATCAATTTTGCCCCAGGGTACTTTCGTAAATGCAGCCTAGCCTTACTGAACAAAAATTTTGGAAGTAGGGCAAGGGGTAATACTAATAGGTAGATAAAACTTTAAAATCTGTCATGGAAAATTTAAATGAAAACGTATTGGAGAATAGAAGAATAGAAACACAAAGGAAAGGAATTGAAATTTAATGACAGGTTTTCTTCCACTTTGGTTTTGTTTCTTTATTTTTTACTTCATTTACAAAAAAAAACAAAAAAAACAAAAAAAAGCTGAGAGAAGTTGAGAACTTGAATATTTTTTTAGAAGAATCTATCATGGGAGTTTGAAGTGGAACAGCATGGGGTGGAGAATAGAAGAATGGAAACTGGCACAGACTAGGGATAACGCAAATGAGAAAAGCACTGAAAATCAAAATAGTAAAACGACAAGTTTTCTTCCACTTTGGTTTTCTTTTTCGTATTTTATTGCAGCTAGCTGCTACTCTAGGTACACTGTCGCCGTTCATTTATAAAGTTAATTTGGGACTCTTATTGGGACAATGGCCCCAAGTTCCATGAGAAGCAGACAATAACATTGAGATAATCAAAGCTTATCTATGATGTTATGGGCTCAATTATAGCATGTACTATCAATTATATGAAACCACCAAATGGTCCAAAACCTAGGATTCGCGCCATCAGGTAAATTAAGTAGTCGCCCAAGTAGGCAAATATTTCAAATTGAATAACATCAACACATGTGGCGTGGTGTGAGTGATATATTTAAGATCTTTTTTATTTTTTATGCAAAGATGTATAAGTTGGAAGAGAAAGTGGGAATTTTGCCAGCCTTTGCTCTCACGCCTGCAGAATCTAGTCGAGATGAGTCCCCCACCCACCCCCAATGTGTACCTGTTGTTTAGGAGTGGTTCCAAGTCAATATTCAACATCAAAATAACACCTTCAGATTCTTCTTAATCTTTTTGTTAACTTTTGTTGTAAGTATTGCATTAATAAGAATTTTCCAGTACCATGCCTCACATTGCTTAAAATTAGAGCTCATAAAATTAGTGTAAGTGTACTTGACCTAGTTCGATTCTTAAATTCATATATTTTGATTTTTTTTATGTCTAAATGAATACCACCAATCACATGGATCAATTGATATGAGTTTCAACTTAATTAATAATCTCCTCTAGTTTGAGTTCTAGGATTATAGTTGTGTTGAATATTTAGAAGAAAAAAAGAAGTCTTATTTAGCTTAAATATGATTGACCTCAGCAAAAATACATGTAGTATATAAAATAAATAAAGAATGAATGAATGAGTGAATGATGTAAGATATTCAAAGCTTGTAAGAGCAAACACGAAGAACTTAATTACTGATAAAGAAAAGACAGAGTTTTCAGATTTGACATTGAATGGTAACTGGAGAGGGACAACAATTGATTCCTTCTGTTTTTAAAGGTTTGGCAACGAACAGTTTTTTTTTTCCTTTATATAAAAATGGCAAGAATGAAATGTTTCATTATTATAGGAGACAAGAGAACCAAGGACTCGTACGAGGTTTTGAACTACTTAAAGGATTATTTGGTGGTATGAATGATTTCTTCACATAAAGACTGAATGCGTGTGTTAGTGTTAAGCATATATTCCACTAAGGTGAGATTCAAATCAATATACTTGAGTGCAAAACCAGTCGATATTTTGTGTTTTGTAACTCTGTTTTAATTGACTAATAAGTATTGCTTTAGTGCAATGACGGTTACAATTTTTGAATTATTTCTCTTTATGATGAATTATGTAATTGTTACCTTTAAAAGGGCTCCTCCTATTTTGAATAAAATAACCACCTTTTTATATTTTCTTTTCTCGTTTCTTTTCAGTGGTATCAAGAGCTAGGTTAAAAAAAAAGGCAGTAGTCCAAGAGTGTAAAAAAAAAAAAGAGAAGAAAACAATTATCCCACCAATGACTTCTGAAAATTTTGTGCAGCCAGCCATTCTACGTTTTGATGGTCACTACGACCATTGGAGCATGCTGATGGAGAATCTCTTGAGATTCAAGGAGTTCTGGCAGGTTGTTGCAGATGGTGTGGCAACACCAGGGGATGGTGTAGCTCTTACAGATGCCCAACAAAAGGAGCTTGATGTGATGAAATTGAAAGACTTGAAAGCTAAGAATTATTTGTTTCAAGCCATTGATCGATCTATCCTTGAAACTATTCTTTGTAAAGATACTTCCAAGGATATTTTGGATTCAATGAAAAAAAAATATCAAGGCTCCTCGAGAGTTAAACGTGCTCAACTTCAAGCTTTGAGAAGAGACTTTGAAGTCCTTCAAATGAAGGAAGGTGAATCTGTAACCGACTATTGTTCAAGGACCATGGGTATTGCTAACAATATGCGATTTCATGGTGAAAAAATGAATGATATAGCCATTGTTGAAAAAATCCTACGCTCATTAACACCAAAGTTTGAATATGTGGTGTGCTCAATTGAAGAGTCAAATGATATAGATGATCTCTCCTTAGATGAGCTTCAAAGTTCTTTGTTGGTCCATGAACAAAAGATGAACAAAATTTCAACAATGGAGGAACAAGCATTGAAGGCTTCTACCAATACTCCTTCATACAACTCTAGAGGAAGGGATAGAGATAGAGGTAGAGGACGAGGGCGTGGAGGTCGTGGAAATAGAGATTTCAGCAAGAACTCTAGAGGCAACAATGACCAATTTCAAGGCAATGATAGAAGGAGAGATCATGATAAATCAAAGATAGAATGCTTTAGATGTCATAAATTTGGTCATTATGCTTCTGAATGTTATACTAGACTACCTAATCTTAAAGAAAAGGGTGAAAGTTCAAATTGGATCGAGGAGAAAGAAGTAGAAACCCTGTTGATGGCAGTTGAAGATGCAAAAGACAGCGAGGCAGAAATTTGGTATGTAGATACTGGCTATAGTAATCACATGAGTGGAAGCACTAGTAGAAAATAAGTATATTACGTCACCCCTTTTACGTCGGAAATACGAAAATCCGACGTAAAAAAAATGCGGTGGCATTTTTGTAATTTTTGCGAACTTTTTTACGTCGCACCTGGTAAGGTCCGACGTAAAAAGTCCAATCTACGTCGCACCTGGGAAGGTCTGACGTAAAAAGTCCAATTTACGTCGCACCCTACCAGGTCCGACGTAAAAAAGACGCAAATTTGAATAAGAGAGCGCGAGGCACACCGCGCGCATTCACTTTTCATCACTTTTCATTTTTTTCTCTGTAAACCCTCTCCCTCTTCGTTGTGTAAATCCCTCCGCCTCCTACTCCTTCGGTCCTTCCTTCCTTATAATTTTTCTATCATTCAGTCTCCGTTCATACGACAAAAACAAGCAGTTTGCGTTCATACGACTAAATGTGTATTTTCCTTCCTTATAATTTTTCGAGGTACCATCTTCAAGTTTGTGTTTTTCTGTTTCTGGGCTTTTCTATGAGGTTCTATGACGTAAATGATGTTTTTTTCATCTGTTTGTTTCAAGTTTTTGAAGCTGGAGATGGAGAAGGAAGTGACCAAGTCTACCTGAGAACGCGCTCCTGGGTCTCTCAAGCAGAACGGCCCGTTCTGCTTGCAGAACGGCCCGTACTCCATGGAGAACGGGCCGTTGTTCAAACAGAACGGGCCGTTCTCCAAGAAGTACGGCCCGTTCTGCTTGGAGAACGGCCCGT